TTGTATTGCTACTTTTACTTAAGTAAAGGATGTGAGTATTACTACAACAGACATATTCATACAAAAAAGGACAGTTCACAGAGTTCCTATAAAATGGGTTATTTCAAGGTCATTGCTTCCATTTTTTTATATTTCTTTCATTCTGAAGACATTTAAATAGCAGCTGCACACTAAAAATTGCCCTGTAATTACCACTCAAGGGTCATGGTGGGAAGAAAGAGGGTGTGTGTGCACACAGGGAGTCACAGAGAAAAATAGGAAGGAAGGGAGGGCACATAGAAAGATGGGCAGAGACAGAGAGAGGGAGAGTCACTGTCAGTTTACAATTATCTCACCTCACTGGTCTTTCTCGTTTGTCTGCTTCAGTGTGTAAGATCTGAGGAACGTTGCCGTGCACCATCTCTCCTCCCTTTAACTGGTGATTTAAATGGTTGTTGCTGAAGAGGTGTGACTGAAACAACATTCGTATACTGAAACCACGGACATTTGGTGAACAGGAGAGACACAAGAAGACATAAGTTAGAAGCTGTTTTACATTGGACACCAAAAGAGAGAGACTGCTGCTGAAACTTTTGAGGATTATGGATGAGTGGAGGAGTGGAGGCACTATGACAGTGGAACATCCATGAGACGAAAGAAGAAAATATTTCTTATACCTTAAGATGATGAAAACATATGATAATGTAAAAAAATGGAGCATGAAAAAAGAAGGAAACAACCATCACAGGAGTATTAACCACGCAAGTTGGACTAAAGGGTGACGTGATTCATACAGCTTATTTCTTCTAATGGTCTCTTTTTTAAAGTGACGCATTACATAAGACTGTGGAATCCCTCCCTGTTTATCTTATAGTGTTCACATTCACTCATCATTGTCATGCTTTTCTGTGATTTCTGGCTTTGATACACAGCAGTTGTGTTCCCAGATGTCTCAGTCACGTAATTCAACAGACAGTCAGGCCTTGCTGCAGTCCATGCTGCAGAGACTGAAGCTCCAGCCGGGAAGAGAGGGCCAGACATTCCTGCACACAACTCTACCCATCACAGCTCCTTCCACATGGGGGCAAGCGGGAGAGACAGGAGCCTCCAACCTCCAGAAAGTAAACAACAGTCCTGTAAACGGCTTTGAGTTTGGTACCAATGGTGTCCCCTCAAAACAGCTCGGTATCTCTGCTGTGGACGGTAACATTGATCGTGGAATACAACAACCAGGTCATGGCACTGAAGTGGACAGTGGTCTCATTTCCTTTCCCACCCAGAAAGACAACATTGATGACACGGGTGAGAAAAGGGTTTTGGGACAGGCCACGCAGCCTGGGATCACTTCAACGGGAACAGGGCAGCTGTTTCCTGTTAAATCACTTAAGCATGCTGATATCACTTCCTTTGAGAGGACTGATGGGGAGAGGGTGAGTTTTGGCAGTTCTCCAATGACGAGGCACACCCCTAGTGATAAAGATGCTGTAACAAGCATGGGACAGAATCAGGACCTGGACCGGGGTTTTACACCCAGAGTCTTTGTGTGGTCCTCGAAGCCCACAGATGCAAATGTTGACACGGGAAGTCAAGGGGATAAAGTTTTACATATGGGAAATGGAGGATTTGGAGATTTGGCACAAAGTAAAGGCACGCAGATTGTCCAGACTGACCAAAACACAACAAACAACAGCTTTAGGAGAAAGCAGAGACCGTCTGAGAATAAAACGAGAAGATGGACTCAGAAGATCAAGGAGAGATGGAGGGACAGGCCGGGGAGTTTTGGCAAAAAGGGAAAAGAAGAAGACGGAAGGGAAGACCAGAAGAGTAAGCAGGGAACTGAGGTAAGCAGTGCATTTTGATTATATTTATTTTCTATTGCCAAAATTAAAAAATTATTAAATAGATAAAGTGAGACTGCAACTTGTTTAATTCACAGCTTTCACCCCAAAACCAGCTACTGGCAGCAGAAACTCTTATCACCACATCAATTAAGGAGGAAGAAAGGACCCCTGCTTCACTAGACAGTAGTGATACCAGGGTAACCCCTCCTACACACACAGAAGACAGCACTAACGAAGGACGTATGAGGTAACCAACCCATAAATTAAAATACGCCCAAAACCAGTCGTGAAGTCAGAATGACACAGGCTAAACATTCTCAGAGTTGGGTTTTGTTGATCCGTTGTTCAGCCCTTAAGCAACACGAGTGAGATATGTGAGGTATTCATGAGACGTTTTCAACCACAGCTGTGATATTATTTTGGGCTGATATTTGTTCCTCTTTGGTCGGATGTGCCAAACACACCCCTGCCACTGACAGTGTCTGTCATCAGCCATCTTTACAGTCATCACACTTTCACATTGTGTAAGTCAGTTTTAATAACATCCCTTAAAAAGGAAACATCATCAATGAGACCATTGATGGAAGAAGTATTCAGATGCCTCACTTAAGTAAAAGTAATGTAAAAATACTTAAAGTAACAAAGACAGAAGTACTCATCATACATACAGACAGTGAATTATAATATTATCACTGGAGCTCTAATTTGTAAGCTGCATTTTAATGTTAGTGCTGGTCATGGTGGATGTAAGTTATACTGTTGGGTAGTAGTAGTTTAATTTACTATAGCAATGTGTCTTATATGATATGCTTAACATGTATTTTCTTAAAGTAACTGCAGCAGTCAAATCAATGTAATGGAGTAAAAAGTAAAATATAACAATGGAAACACTCAGTTAAACAGAACAAATCAAGGTAGTTCTACCTCAAAGTTTTGAGTAAATGTCCTTAATTAAATTGTAAATTGTACTTGAGATACACAGACTGAGAGAATCACCCATAAAGGACGATAAGTCTAAATTACATTTTTAAATATGAGTCACAAATATATAGTTTCGCAAAGAAAAAAAAAAGACTCTAATTTCCCAGAACAGCTGTGCACTGTAGTTTTTGGCAAATGTTAGAAGTTGTCAGAAGTAAATTGGGCCATTTTGGGGACTATTTTCAGCAGTGGAGTAATGCACTTTTGGTTTGGTCGGATTCTCTTCAGTCAGATTGTGGTACAGCAAGTGTAAATAGATAGCCATTATGATTTGGTAAGACATAATTACCCATATTTGTGTTTTAGAGAAAAATAAACACATAAATAGGATAACAGATTGGTGTGAGGCTGATCTTTAGTATATTCATTGTCACAAATACACTACTACCAACCACCTGAACACCAATTGAGAGCATAAAGACCAGTTGAAGCACAAGCAGAGAAGTTGAAATAGCAGCACAAGTAACAGATGAATGGTTGAAAAATGGAAGTAGTACAAATGCAAACTTGATCACTGAAAAAGGAAGCCTTAACATATCAACTTCACCGTGTACTGTAATCAAATACTGCAACAACAAACTACAGTGTTTGTTTGGTCTTTTCACGTGATTTGTTTACAAAAGGACAAATATAGAGATTTACAGATTCATTATCATTTGAATCAAAGGTCGAAGTATTGAGGGCATCACATTTTGCACAACCTCAGACAAATTCATGATTTTGGGTGAAATAAAATAGGTCACTTCCTGATTTTGGTTCTGAGGTGATGACGCATGCACTGTACTTACTACATGAGTTTACATAGTCTCTTCTCTTGTTGCAGGTCTACTAGTGACTTTGAGTTTGGCCTGGGCTCATTTAGCTTACTGGAAGAGATCGTCACGGGCCAAGAGTGGGCCAAGTTCCTGAACCCCAACCTATTGGTCACCTCAGCCAATCAGAGTCCATCAGAAGAACTTAAAATTCCACCAAATCCTTATGATAGCAGTCAATCACCTGTGAAACAGCAAGGAGGCGTGAACAACCAGTGGAGCTTCAGGAGCACTGAGGCATCACCAATTTCAGATTTTAGCATGGCGCAAATATCGCCTGTTCCTCTCCTTCCTGTCAGCATGGACCTTTCAGAAGGAAGACAGCAGCAAGTTCCCAGAGTGGCTGACCAATCAGAACCAATGGAGGATGGACAAACCCAATCAGATATGCAGTCTAGAGACAGTAGACTGGGACAGCGACTTAGACCTGTTTCCTTTGTGCAGGTTAGATATAGGCCACCTTATTATGCACAACCCACTACTTATTCACTTCAGTATTTAGACAGAAATCATCTGATGTTTCTCCTCTCCATGTTTAAATGATTGATTTTACTATATCATCAACATGAACACCTGAACACACCCATAAGTACTTTCCCAAACTTTACTTTCACGTATTATTCATTAATGCTGTTATCTGTTTGTAATTGCAGCCTGCAGATATTCTGAACAACTCAGTGCTGAAGAGCAGAGCCCACCAAAACAGAAAGAGACAGCATCAGTCAGCTAAGAGGCTTCAAACTGAGAAAATAAGTGACGCAAACAGAGGTCAGAACAACTTAATACTCTGCATTATCTGATATTTCAGTTGACAGAGGTCAGGTGTTCATACGACTGAAATGATTTCCTTTATAAACTGTTGTCTCTCGTCTCACAGGGGGATCCATATCCTCACTGAGCCCGACAAGCAGCCATGTGATGGAGGAGTCAGGAGAGTCAGGACGTGATAATGTCATCCCTTTATACACCCTGAACTCTCCTCTTCCACCGCTCTCTCCGTCTTCTTTGAGTCCCTTTGCTCCTGCACCCAGGGGTGTCCTCAAACACTCCATATCCCAGGATTCAGAGTCCTCAGTGGAAGTAGTGACAAAAAGGGTGAGTTAAAAAGGGAACTGTGCATCACACTGCCTCCTTGTGGTATAAAATATAAAAATACCATCTACACAGAGTGTGTTCCAAGTCCATACTACATGCTGATTCTAAGCAGGGTTGAGAATGTAAAGTATACTCACTGTAGTCATTGTGTGGATTAAAGAACATTTTTAAGTGTCTTCCTCACACTATTCTCCAAAAATGCAATGCAACAGGAAAACGAAGGAGTTTCTCACAGCAAAAGTTGTTGCTGGTGGTAAAACATCTTCAAAAGAAACCTCAGAAAACTGAAAACAATTATTGAGAGTTTTTAAGCTTTTGTTAAGTAACAAAGAGACAAAGTCACTGTTTATTGCCTTTGTACTGCAAATGTATTTCTAAAAGTTGTAAAACAGTTCAGTAAATTGATGTAAACTATAGATTAGTATATAGTTATATATAGTAACATGTAGTAAGTACTGTAGTATGGAACTGGGAGATGAGGTTGAAGTGCTCATGAACTATTGATCTTCGTGTTCAAAAATTAGATTATTTGAACAAAGTAGCTTTTTTCATACACAAAGCAGGAAAACTCATGGAAAAACAAATAAAGTTATCGACATTTTGATATCTTTTAAATATTGGCCCTTCTTTTTTACAGTTCAGTAATAAATGAATCATTTTGTTGTCATTTCTAAGAGTTTTTTTTAATATGTAATTTGGTAATAATTATAAAGAAAACTAGAAGGGTCCTTGAAAGAAATAACACCTATGTAAATATTCATTATTGTTTCATATATGCTGAATTTACTTTTTTACATTTTCAGCTAACTAAAATTGAAAAGACTCTAGGTTACACTTGCAATTAAATGTAACTGATTGACTGAAAATGTACAAACTGATCACTGTCTCAAATTAGTACCAAATTACTTTCTTATGGTTCTTTTCATGAAACTATTAGTAAAGCTTTGTAAGTGATGGATGTTACATAGACCAAATATAATATAATTATAATAACACTTTAGAATGATAAAAGTAAATATGACATTATATTAACTACTTCTTTCTTTGACATTTTCTGTTTTTCTTTCCTTTGATCCATTCAATTCATTCTACTCTGGATCAGCGGCGCGTCGAGGAGAACCGACGGGTTCGTTTTTCAGAATCAGTGATGACCATAGATCCTCCAGAGCTGGATCTGGATGCTACAGACTCAGAGGAGGATTCAGGAGCGGACGAGGACTCTGTGACAGAGCAGGGCTGTGAGGTGGAGCAGGCAGTGATAGAGGAGGTGGCACCAGCAGCACGCCGGTCTGCTCTCCCTGCCTGGATACTGGCTCTGAAGAGGAGGAAGCACAGATAATGAAACTGCAAAAAATAAGCATTGTCTTGCTTAAAATAAATGAATATTAAATTAAATCAGCTGAGACAGATTGTCTTAAAACCCTGGAACATATTAATTGCATCATAACTTCAACTTTTGGGGATTTCTTTAGACTTCTACTACTAGACGTTCTGCACTGCACACAGGAAGTTTGCTAACTGGATTTCTTTCTGGACTCCTCTGTGTGTCTTACTGCTCCTCGTCCCTCTCCAGACCACCACCGTGCTGAGAGTATTTCAAGCCATGTACTGCCACACTGCTTTGCTAAGCAGCACTTTAGGAGCAGCTGTTAAAGGGGAAAAGAGGTCAGACTTTTCCAGCTGCACCGGAGGTTTAAACTGGCAACAATTCTGACCTCCTCAGCTCACAAGGACTATGTTTAAGCATCAACTGTCAGTTTTAATTTAAGAGACTTGTTTTTGTCCACACTCTCCTCTCGGTCTGTCTATCTAGATTGGATTATATACAGCCAACGTGGCATGAGCTGCAGAAGTGTTGAGACAATTTAGTTGCTGTATTATTGCACCAGCTTTTACGGACAGACTACTCTGCTGTCTGTGTCTCTTGGTAATGGCTCCCTGTCCGGCCATCCTGAAAATTAACCCGAGCAGTGGCAGAAACCACTGATGGACACGGCCAGTCTGTGGCTCTCTGTTCAACTTTTGAAATGTTGAAACTATATTTTGAAGCCAATTGTTTCCTGGAAAGAAATGCCTGAGCACTGAGATATTACATCCTGACAATATTATCTGTTTAAGCTTTTACAGACTGGTCCTAGAGCTACAGTAATGCTTCAGTGTGCGTGTAGCAACATTGGAGACTGTAGAGCTACAAGACTAAAAGAATAGTTTGACATTTTGGGGAAATGTGCTTATTCCTGTTCTTTCTGTGAGTTAGACGAGCCAATGTCAATGTCTGTGTGTGTTTGTCATTTTTACACTTTTGTATGAATTAAACAAATTATATATGATCAGTCGTAAACTTTAGATGTGCTGGTTGGTGAATTTTGTTACTTTTGGACAGAAACAAGGCTAGCTGTTCTCAGTCTTTGTGCTAAGCTCATTTTCATACCTGGAAAAGAAGTGCAGACGCTTCTGCTGCCGTATCACCAGACATTAAGACAGCTTCTTCCCTCAGGCTGCCATCCTCAGCACTTCATCATGCAAAATGTTTTTTTTATTTTTTTATTTTCATGACATACTTATCCATTTTTATTTTGTTTTACAAGTAGCAACAATAATCTAAAGTTCATTATATGTTGTAAATGACAATAAAATAACCTTGAATATTTGCAGCGCAGATATTAGAGTGGTATCCTTCTTCTATTCTGTCTTTAAGTTAACAAACTACCATCTTATGATCCTGGAGTGCAGAAAAAGTGTTAACACCCATTTTTTATCTTATAATCTACATTGCACCCTTTACATGAAAAACATCCTCCAGCTACCTCATTGTCCCAGCCACATTAATTCTTGAGGAAGTTACAATATCTGCTTTTTCATGCCTCACAATGGCACACACATCCAGTCTTGCTTGGCCTTCAGATTTTTGGTTGTGAAAACTTGGAGAAACAATTTGTTCATTCTGTCCACAAACAGAGTGAGCAGAGGCCTCATTCAGACAAATAGAGTACTTTGTGGCACTGTGTATCATATTCTGACATTTCCATTACATGCATTATATTGATTTATATGATTAAATTAGTACATCAAACTTCATGGCTAACTGCTGTCAAATCCTCTGTGGTCCCCCTTCACTGCTTTATTCTCACGTAAATCACTGTCAGAGCCATTAAGAGGCTCTTTAGCTCATCTATTAGTGCCCTGGTCAGTATGCCTTCCTCCTCTTCTAGAATGTACAGTGTGTGTGGGAAAGACAGAGTAGGAAATACAGAGAATTACATAAATCTGTCTGAGATGAAAATGTGGGAGTGAACCAAAGAAATAAACAGAGACTTCTGGATTCATTTTGGATTGTCGGGATATAAAAAGAGGACTTACATCAGTCCATTAGTCTGTACAGGAACCTACTGTACGTCATTGCTCAGAAGTGCACTAATTATGGTCCATTTGTAAACCTCAAACGACACACACACATTCATCCTACTGCTTCCCCCCTCTCATCACACACACACACACAGGTCATTAACCATGTCTTTACACCATTAGTGGACTCTTTAGTGCTTTCATTTGTGCAGGACTTAAAAGAAGGACAGTTGTTGAGTGTGCGGCCATGACAAGAAAGAGAAATACTCCAAAATGTTACGCAAATAGTTTATTCTCAGGACTGTTTTTTCTTGTATCGAACATGTTTTGTTTGTTTTTTCCAAACCTCTGACTTGTTCAAGCGAAGCTAATTAGAAATGAGAAGTGGATTCATTCCACTATACAATTGGCTGACAAACAGGAGGTTGCAGTTTATTGCAGTTAAGACACTGTAAAATGTCTTGTAAAATGAAATCGCCTTCTATAAAATAACATTTTTTACTACTGGATGTTTCCCTCCGAGTTTAATGACTGTGGCTTTGACTAAGCTTTATCTAAATGATGATGAAGAGTCAAACCTTTTTTTTAGGGGAACTCTGCTCCAGTGTGCCAGTTGTTGTTATGAGCTACAAAACCACAGTTCTTTTCCTGATGCCCACTTAGTTGCCAAACTAAAACTGACGGCAGGATCCTGACAACCAGAAATGCCTAATGAATCTCTTGCGAGGCAATAAGGGAAAGAAAGAGGAAGAGGAATGTCCAGTTCTTTAGCGTGTTGTTGGTGTTGTCAAATAGGTTGGTCAGAGGCAGCGAGGGAAATGGCTCCAGAGTCATACGAACTCTTGATACCTGCTTTGAGTGACAGCTGGCTGCCTGGGCTCTGAGCAAGGGATGCTTCTATCTGAGCCTCTGATACCTGGATAGAGAAAACAACCAGAAATCTGTGATGAGGCTCTTATACAAAAGCTCATCTGGACTCAATATAACTTTACTTTTGAAAAAACTCATTACCTCTTCAAACTTCTTGGCTTTGTACTGCTCTGCCCCTTTCAAGAAGTTCAGTAAGATAATGTCACAGAGAACCGTACCCTGCAGACACAGAGGGGGAAAACAGTTAAATGTAAGCAGACAGCAACAAGATAATTTTTTTTTAATCGTCTTTAGCATGATCATTAATTCCTACCAGTCCAATAGAGGTGAAGGCAGCTACAAGGTTGATCAGTGTTGGGATTGTGTCAAACTTTCCTGCCTGGAAGAGACAGGCAGAGACAGAGTCAGTTTATTTCACATAATGTACAAACAGTCCCAGACATAAGTGCTCTCTGTAGAATATTTACATTTAAATGAAATAAAACTTCACTTTTTAGACACATTGTTCTGCACAATGTGTTTGTTGAAAAGCACAGCTGACAGTTTCAATATAAACATTTACAGTCATACATGGAGAGTTTGAAAGAACATTTTGACAATTTGGGAAATATTTGCGGCTTTGTTGAGAGTAGAGA